TTTAAGGCTCGGACTTCTGTGTATGACTTTATATGTATGATTAATGATAAATACTTCAGTTAACGCAGCCGCAAGGATATCAAGCCATAGACATAGCGGCAGCTCGTTTTCTTGCAGTTAGTGTCGATTATGTTCTCATGGAACTTTTGAAATGTTTGCCGCGTAATGAAAATATGTCACTAGTAAATTATCGATATCTAACGGGTTTAAATCTGTGATATTGTAATGGCCCATCCAACGGAAATTGGTGCAAACACCGGGGTCCTCCTCTTGATTCTTTCATTATAATTTATAAATTTTGGGAAATAAGGACTGACCGCGGCGATTGCATAAGTTGTCTAAGCTTTAATAATAAAAAATATTTCAGTTTTCTATTAATATTAGGTTCTCAAAATTAGCCCCTTTTACTCTTTCTATTTAGCATTAATGTATCTATATTTTTCAAAGGGTCCACAGAGTGGCACATCGAAGGTACGCGCGCAAGTTTTTTAGGTTTTAGATTGGGCTAAATTGGGGAATCTATTACGGGCTTGTAAAAGGAAGCTTAGGAATCGCCGTGAGATAATCTTAAACAAACAGCGTTGGATCAAAGCTTCGCTGAACTAGGTTTCAGGATCTTACTTGTAACTACTTACTTACCTACTCGTTGTTACACATTAAGTTCCCTAATAAGGGATCGGAGAGGATTTCCGTAATTCGGTCTGCCGGGATGTAGCGAGCGGCAGCGGGCACGACTGTTCTGGGGAAGAGACGTTCACCAGTACACATCGGGTAAGATGGAGCTAAAAATGCATATGTTCTCAGTTAATTCCTTACACAAATGTCAGGTGATCCGAGGAAACTTTTTGTGGAGTCTCTTGTTCGAGATAATTATGGGTAAATAATCCGGTGCGAGGTTCGCCATATGCCTTCAAGTTGTGACGGTTTCTTCAGCCTCTTGAATGAATACGGCGAAAGCGATTTTTCAATCTCTGACAATGTAACAGATGTTTGAACCTAAGTGTGCTCCCCCCAATGCACGAAATGAGATAATCACTACGTCAATTACAGTGAGAAGACTCTAGGAGCGCAAAAAATTACAGTTCCCGGAACTTTCCCTTAACCAATTTTCACTATTGAGTGTAATAATAATTTTGCATTCACTTTTAATGTTAAGTTAACCTAGCGATAGTCAGGCAGCAATAAAAGTACTGAGCTCGCTTACGCTAAACTTTAAATTAGTGCTGAACTGTCGCCGATCTCTACAGGAGATGGCCAAAGAGAACAGACTGAACTTGCTAGGCGGGGTATGACCAAGCAGATTCATTCCCGATATAGAGCGCATTATGATGCCTTTTGCTACATGCAAACTGCTTCTCAAGGAATTCATACATGAACAAGCCACTGAAAGATGGAGTGAAATGGCCTGCCACAAAACCAGGCACATATGGTCGAAATGGGATAAGAAGAGATCACGAGATATGTACTCCTTAAAAATAGGCGACGTGTCCAAAGTTATAGGAGTTCTAACGGGCCAATGTTTGATAGGGCGCCACACAGAAAGACTAGGGGCTCCCTACAGAAGATCCTGCAGAAGCTGCAAGGAGGATAAAGAGGAGGAAACGATCACCCATCTCTTATGCGACTGTACTGCATTAAGCAGGGCGAGGTTTCGTAATTTTGGGACTCTACTGCATTAAGCAGGGCGAGGTTTCGTAATTTTGGGACTCTACTGCTGGAAGGTAGATCGAAATCGGCTGACGTCAAAGTCATGGATCTAATGAGGTTCATTACAGAATCAAAATGGATGGAGGATGAAGATGGTTTAAGTTTGTGTGGTACCACAATGGGTCTAAGTCAAGCCTAAGCCGGTCTATTAGATTGGTAGCCACCGCCACCTAACGGGTGGTTACCTTATGGGTAACCAATAAGTTCTCTTTTGAAAAAGTCTATTATTATGTCTACAAAATTGTTGTTCTGACGAGACTTCCGCGATCAGAAGTTGAATGTAGTCGCCAAATTTTGAATTTTTGTATCTCGTTTTCTGCTCAAAGTGGATTTTTTTTCCCGTATTTGGCCAAAACCTCAGCGAAAAGTCCAAAAATATTTATTTTTTTCTTTATTTCGAATCAAACAAATAATTTTCAATTCGATTTTTACCAATTGTGCCTATATTTGTGATAGCTTCATCTTCCGTAAGGTTGGTTCATCATCAAAATCAGCAAAATCATCTGTATCAAAGTCAGTAAAAAAATTTATTGGCATATCTTCGTCCATGTTTTGCTTGACCATCAGTACACTTCTCCAAACAATCAATGGTAACAGCACAAAACTTCAAACTTGCCTCTGAACCCTCAATGAATAATCGCCATTCATCAGCGTATCCAACCCGAAATAACATTCCAGTAAATGAACGTATCTTCATCGCTAGGAGTATACAATTTCTGGAAATCAGCTTGATGTTTCCGGTATGATGTGGAGTTTTGCTGTGTGAGTTTTCTGCTCTTCAAAAATGTGGTCGAAAACTCCGCATTCCGTTGCGGTAAACCCAATTTAACCACAATGTATTTTGTTTCGGCCGCAGTAGTCGAGTGGTTAGCATTGCGTACTGCCATTCGGTAGGCTCGGGTTCAAATCCCCGTGTGACAAGCATCCAAAAGTTATAGAACAATTAATTTATATAAAAAATGAAGCTAAATTTTCTAATTGCGATCGCACCTCAGCAGATATTGTCAACCCCTCCGAGTGTATTTCTGACATAAAATTTAGCTCCTCATAAAAAAGCCATCGGTCGTTCGGAGGCGGTAGGTCCCTTCATCGTTTCAGGGGTTGCAAAATGCTAATTGTTATATAATCCATTTCGTTTTTTTATGAGCAGTCGCGGTGCATCATCTTGAACATTGGGTTCCCAATCAAAATCCAAATCATTGATTGAGTTGGTCAAGGCAGTTTTTTCTTTCTCCAATGGATTTTCTGGAGTCGGAGGATTAGGTAGATCGACACCAGGTGCGCGTTTTCCTGCAGCTTTGGCATTAGTAGTGGTTTCATATTATATTTTTTTACTCGTTCAATCCAACCGCAGAGTTCAAACATGCGCAACATCTAATTTCATCATATCCCTGTCCCTCTACCATCCACATACTGGCTTCACATAGCGGAGGACAGGCTTTTTTCATATCATATGTTATTTGGAATTTCTCGGAGAACATGTTTCTACTTTCCCGATTTTTTGTTCGGCGTTATATGGCCACTAACATAGCGAAAATCGTTGAGTTTTATAATTTATATATTGAAATTGTGGAATAATTGTTGTTTTGTTACACAAACCAATGCTCTTAGAAGTTCTAGATTTGGCACATAGTTTCAACTTCTAGTCGTGAAATTCCTGTCGGATTCGGTGAGCCGAAACACGGTGCACTGACACATGTACCCTTCATCTTATGGGAAAAACATACTACATGTTGGGTATGCCGAGAGCTAGTATCATATTGATACTGATACTGGCATCTTGGAGGGATTTGATAAAGTCCCTGAATGTCGTTGAAATTCTGCTCTCTAATCGGAAATTATGTTTATTATAGGTCAATAGTTTTACGTCAGAGAAAGTTAAAGACAGATGTAGAATACCAGGGATGCCATAGTAGAGCAAAGCTTAGTTGCACCAGAGAAAAGAGCTCTGATAAATATGTGCCCAAGTTCACCAACGATTACGTTGTTGAGAAATAAGAAGGGCTCCGAAATCGTTTTCAAGATCTCCACAAGCGTGGTAATATCTGCTTTTTAAAGTTAATATGAGTTCGGAATTCAAAGGCGGTTAGCACACTTCGTCACATTGAGGGGGGAAACTGGTTTAGAACGCTGAAAATTGCATGATATTCGGCACAGTGTTTTAGGTTGCCTTATGTATGAAATGTTTCAAGTACTTTTGAAATAGGTCATAGATACGAGTACACAAACCTTGTAAAAAAAATTTACTTTCACTTTAACTGTTTTTACTGTTAAGCAATAACAATTCGTATTTGTTTGTGGCACTTCTCGCTCGAAGAGTCTATTTCGTGCACACGATAGCAATCGTAGTTTTCATCTGAAACATAAAAACGAATACTTTTTTTCTAGCTTAGTAATTGCTCTTCTATGTGAACCTAAGTTTTTCGAAGAAATGTATAAAATTATTATTGATGTCTCTTTATAAAAAATTTTGCGTTTTTCTGAAGAAATTTTAAGATAATTTATTGGTAAAAAGTTAATAAAAAAAAATTTTTCCTTGTGATTTTTTTGGGTTAACATAGAAGCCTACAATATTAGCTGTAAAAAAGGTATCGCTGATGAAAATGCGACAATTACAACTTTTTTAATCGTGTGCACAAAACAGAAAAACACTGTTTTGAAAAAATCTCGTTCAAAGTTCTTGCGCCCGCTTATCAGTCTCCTGAGCGCATTGCCTTTCAGAGGCCATTACTGCGGAACGATTAGGAATTTGACTCTGAATTTTTGTGGAAATATTTCTAAATGTATTTCTAATCGTATGAAATAAGTTTCAAAAAATCGATTTTTTGACCCTCTAAACCAGGTTCCCCCCTTAAGATAATTTATTAGATTAGAGTTATGGATGATTATTGACGAGTTGTGGCAATTGCTTACGAGTCTAATGAGAGAGAGCTTCATCATTTGTTACAAAGTGTCTATTTGTTTATTGGTTTTTGTGGATCTATTTCCCTCCACCGAACATTGCCTTGGTTGTTTGCTGTCCGATATTAGGTCAAAGTAAGAGCAGAAGTTCTGAGTCGCTAGCCAGTCCTAGTAGGCTAGTAGCCAAATGATGCTAATATGCTAGGAAAGCATACAAAATTAACACAATTAATTATAGCAGAGAGTATCTTGCCAAACCTTTCGTTCAAATTATAGAAAAATGTGCCAAACGTCTGGCACCACTACTGGCAGAAAATTTTAATAGCGATTTCTTTATGTTTATTGTTTAATAAAAATTCCCGTTAATTAAGCATATATTTTATACCTTTCAGGACGAATTGGTACCGTCGTTGGTTGGGGTAGAACTTCAGAAGGCGGTGATTTGCCATCAATTGTCAATCAAGTAAAAGTGCCCATAATGTCTATTACGGAATGCCGAAGTCAAAAGTATAAAAGCAGTAGAATAACATCCAGCATGCTGTGCGCCGGACGCCCTAAAATGGATTCATGTCAAGGAGACAGCGGTGGACCACTTTTACTCTCAAATGGTGTAAAGTATTTCATTGTGGGTGTCGTTTCATGGGGCGTTGGGTGCGGTAGAGATGGTTATCCTGGAGTTTATACAAGAGTCAGTAAATTCATCCCATGGATAAAATCTAATTTGCGTGACAGTTGCTTATGTTCTTAGTACAAAATTTTGTAAATTGTATATTCTTTGTAAAATATAAATTAAGGAATATTAAAAATTCAAATTGAATAAATGGGGAACAAAATGTTTAATGAGAATCTGGAAGTAATTTACACTGTTATCTTCGCTAATTTCATTGTAATATTTTTTATGCTTCTCCAACTTTTAGTTGCAGAATTAATGGGACAAAGATGAACCGACTATTAACTCTTTTTTTTATCAGCGCAATTTTTTTCCAATATCGATTATATTATATATATATAATATATTTACGATTTCTCGCCGAACACCACTTTTAATTTTTAGTGTGTGTCTTGAACTCTTTCCGTTAGTTTTTTTATTTCAAGTTATAAATAAGGGGTGATTTTTTTAGCTATTATCTTTTTGGCAAGCTGCCGCACGTTTCGTAATTTGTATAACTGTCAAACATCTTCAGTTTGGTCTAAAATTGAACCATGAATCGTTTTACAACATGCGCGCTCTGTTGAGAAAGTTCATCGCGCGCTTCTTCCTCGCGCGCTTCGAAGCGCTTTGTTGGCTTAATGGCTGCGTAAATAAGCAGAATTGTCGATTTTGGAGTGAAGAACAGCCAGAAGAATTGCAAGAGCTACCAATGCATCCAGAAAAAGTTACAGTTTGGTATGGTTTTTTTGGGCTGGTGGCATCATTGGACCTAACTTCTTTAAAGATGATGCGAATCGTATCGTAATTGTGAATGATGAGCGCTACCGTGAGATGATATCAAAATTTTTTTGCCCAAAATGCAAGAGCTGGACTTGCATGGCATGTGGTTTCTACAAGACGGTGCCAGATGCCACACAACACGCGTAACAATGGACTTATTGAGAGGCGAGTTCGGTGAATATTTTATTTCACTTGCAGGACCGGTCAATTGACCGCCTATATCATGCGATTTAACGCCTTTAGACTATTTTTTGTGGGCTATGTTAAATCTAGTGTCTATACAGACAAGCTCGCTTCAATTGACGCATTGAAGGACAACATTGAAACATTTATTCGTGAGATACCGGCCGAAATGGTGGAAAGATTATGCCGAAATTGGACTAAGCGGATTAATCATTTGAGTCGCAGCCATGGTCAACATTTCCATAAAATAATCTTCGAACTTTAAATTATATGGATCGTACTATCGATTGAAAAACTTGCCTGTAGCTCTTAAAAAATATAAATTATAAACTTTCGAAACGGAACTACAAAGTCTGGCAAATGATTATGGACCTTTGCCATTGGGCAGCGGCGAACTACGCGGTCGCAAGATTTTATTTCAAAATAAAATACACAATATAAACAAAATAAGTCCCTTACTATAAACGGACGTCATTAAACTATTTGTTTCTAAACTAATTTATGAAGTCGGACCTCAACTACAAAAACATTTTCCAAGCAATTCATACCTACCACTACTGACTTCCTCATTTGATATATTAAAATGGATGTAAATAACGTCTAATAATCTCTAGAAGCGAAGGCGGAAAGTCTAAATATTCCACCTTTACCACAACTAAATATCAAGTTTAGGAAATTACTTTGAAAAAACAAACAAAATCTCCACGCCAAGAAATATTACAGGCAGACAGGTAAGGGCATCCTCTGATCTCTTCAATAGAATCATGAAACCCACACAGTAGACGCATAAAAGCAATATTGGTACAAAAACAACTTCACGGAAAACATCCACACATCATAGAAAATGCTAACATAGATTTAACATATACGAGTACACATGGCTTAAGAAGGGGAAGCTTTCGTCAGAAACAGAGGTCTTCCCGCTTGCTATTCAGGACCTAGTAATAACAAGCAGAAACTACAGAATATCTATATTTAATATTATAAAGGACTCTACCTTAACACGGATAAGTGTCGAAAATATTGCATACCTGTGGAAATCCCTAAACCACATAGCATCTGGTTACTTAGTATTAGCAGGGATCAAATTAAGCCCACAACACGACAAATTTGCAAATCTAATGCTGCAACTATCCATCTTACATACCGCACAGCCATAACACCCGACTGTAATAGAATATATAAACACAAGTATTTTTTGCGGGACAAACCTCAGTAATGGCATTTGCAAGCGGTAACAGCTTAGTATTTACATGGCGCTATCATAAGATTGGTTGCTATGGACGGAGGGTATGTAAGATGGGTAGTTGCAGCATAATTCATTAAATACAAACAACAATACGTCACCCTACTGTCAATACACAAAACAACACCATGCTGTAGAATGAGCGTTCCAAATGACAATTCTACACACCGTAAGCCAAAAAAAAAGGAAAAATGCGATGAATTGGCACAAGAAATAAAACGAATTTTGAGGCCAGATGAAGTAGAAACGACACCTATGGTCACCTCTATTACTGGAAAGCTACAAAAATACTTTTATAAAAAACTTAAAAACACTAAAAAAAAGTAATCCAATTTGGGTGTATGCATTTCGATAATGGAATTAATAAAAATAATAACACTTTTACGCTGTCATCCAAGCGTACGTAATCGCGAATCAACATCAGCTATTTTAGAAACATTCAGTTTCATGACGTTCATGTATAGTAAGTGACGTATTTTGTGTAGTTTTGGCTTTTTATTTTGAATAAAATCCATCGTGGAGGATGGATGCATAGCCCCACTCATGGATTTATCGTCTGCGTTATTCGCCGTTGCCGATTCGCAAAGGTCTATAATCATTCGCGAAGCTTCATACCGAAAAATCCAAACGCCGACTCATTAGGCGTGTACATATTTTCTCATTGTGGGTTTTCATTCATGCGGAATATGTGGTCAGTGGCAGATTTGTCAGATTTGAAGCCCCATTTATACCGCCATACCAGTTTGTTGACGTAAGTTTTAACTTTTTAACACTCTACGTTTAGGTTCAAATCATGGGGAATGGTTTCATCCGACCATATTCTACAAAGAAGCTGATACATGCATCAAGCCATTTCTTCGATCAGCCTCAACCCATCTGAAGATTTTAAGATGTTTCGTCTCGGACGCTGAGGGGTAAGGCTCATATGTATGCTCCAGATACTTAGTAAAGGCAAATTTGATCACACCGTTCTGCTCCTCAGTCAGTGTTTGAGAGCAAATCACCGATACAATGAAGAACATCGCTTTGTTGCGGCGCCTGATACGAGGATTGACAAAGCCCACCTCTTCGTCGAGTTTAAAGTAGCCGTCGACAACACGTATGTCGGATTTTGTATACCCGTAAAATTTGTACGCCTGAACAGGCCGGGAAGGACTTTGAAGTCGTAGATAACTCGTCCTTTTCGAAACCGGCATGAGCACCAACAACAATGCCAGTCAGCATAACTTTTGCTATCTCGGATTGAGTGAACAATTGAATAGTAAAGCCCCTCAACATTCCTGCGATGGTATGTACGATGCAAACTTCTGATGAGTCGGTGCTGAGGTTTTGTGGAAAGTGTTGAGCGATATACGAGGTGTAACAATTCAGTAATGAGACTGATACCATAGAAACCGTATACTTCGAAATTATTATACAAAGTCCCCTTCAAAGCTATACAACGATTTCAGCGCGTTTCCAATGCTTCATAACATTTCTGGAACGCTTCGACTGAGATATCCGCGAATACCCGGCCGCCTGGATGTCCTCAATCGACTCAAAATGGGTTCCTTTGAACACCGATTTCGTTCTAGAGCACACCTGCTCCAATTTTTGGTTTTGCGTCTAGATGTTTTTCCAACAAATGGTCCCTCCATTTATATTTATTTATATACGCCTCCGAACGGCCGACGTTTTTTTTAAGAAGAGCATTTATTTCATGTCCGAAATACACTCGGAGTGGTGGACATTCCCTGCCGAGGGGCGACCGCAATTAGAAAATTTAACTTAATTTTTTATGCAAATTAATTTTCCATAACTTTTGAATGTTGTGAGCACCGGGATATGAACTCAAGCCTTCCGAAAGTCAGTACGCAACCCTAACCCCTCGCTAACCGCGACCGCCCAATTCGGCACAAAATTTTATAGTGACGCGTTGCACTTGATTTCGTGTTTCCATTTCACATTTACTCAACACGACACAGCAGGCGAATTAAACAAGCTAGAGCTATGGCAAATATGTAGAGGAGAAGAATATGTGGTGATGTAAAGATTTGTTATATGATTTAGATATACTTTGGCTAATTGATCTCATGATTGGAATACAAACCGAATTCATTGAAATTTTCTGATTTTTATGGGATTGTTCACAGTGTATGATTCCCAGCAAACAAACATATCTAGCTATTTGTGCAATGAGTAAGACGTGTTCTTCTACCGTAACCAATCACGTTTTAAAACGTAATTACCGGCTTTAAATAAAATATTATTGCTGTGGTGAATAATCACTAAAATTATTTATTTGTCTTTGGGTTTTGCGCAATCGAAAATGTGGGTGCGTTCGAAAACATCAGCCACAAAGCAACCATACACTGTCACGCATTCCGAAATGCAACTGTACAAACTTTGACGATGTGCGATGTTCCTAGATGTTTCGCTAGAGTTTGTGATGCTTTATTGTATTATAAATTCTATATTTACAGCAATAGCCGACGTCGGAGGGTAAGTTTTTTGCACTAATTATTTTTTTAAACATTATATTTCTTATTTTCTTGATCGATTTTATATTTTAGCCATTTCACCGAGAAGCAACTTATTTGCACGAAAAGCGTTCGAAAATGTCAGAGTTTGCAATGTTTTGTTACAAAGCAAATTTATAGAATGTAGGGTTGCATTGAAATGATACGATTGCGAAACAGGAACAATACAAAATATTTTGACGTTTTGGATCTCACCCTCTATGTGTTAATAGAGAAAAAGAGCTGGTAATTTGCCCTCAACAAACTCTCCTTGTGAAACTGCAAGGTAAAGAAATCAGCAGCTACTATAGCGAGCATCATTACGAAAATCTTAGGAAGTAAAGAGCGCATAATTCAGAAAATGGAAGAAATTTTTGACGAACTCGGCAACGAATACTATTAAAAAAAGCGTTAATACGCCAGACTCATTGCGCTGCATAAGTGATTTATCAAAACATAGTTTTGTTTCATCAAATTTATGAGTTAG